TCATGTCTTCGTTGATTTCTTTTAACTCCCTCTGTCAGTTTCCACTGGTACTTTTATACCGGCATTGATCTGCAGTTTGCGTGTCTGAATGTGAACCTTGCTGTATGTTGCTTTTACCACTCTCCAGGTCTGCTCCATAAGTGGCAGCTTGAGAGGCAAAATGTTGCCTGTGCTGAAATCAACAGGCTTTTGAAATGTGCCAAATTGACAGGCTGTGATGGGTGGATAAAACAGGTGGAGAGTGGTGCTCTCTTAATGTGATTGCATGTGTCAGAATGAAAACCAAGTTTTTTTTTTATAAAGAGGCAATTTATTTGTGATGCTTTATCTCACAGTCAAAATACTAAAATGAAGCAATTTACTAATTGTGTAGACGTAAAGCGGTGAAGAAAACTGGGCAGAAATTGCAAAGCAGCAATTAGCAATGGGAATCAACAATTTTTTTGTTATTTGCATTTTTATCTATAATCGCAGTCACACTGACAGTACACTTGACATATAAAGTCAGATCCCAGATTTGAGCCGGTGTTGTTTCTAGGGAGGTGTTGAATTTTCCTCAGCAGCACAGACTGTGCTCTGAATGTTACTCATGCATAGAAATGACAGATCCACTGTTGTGAATTTCACCAAAATACCAAAAAGCTATTGCAGATGAGACAGTGGTCATTGTCTGTGGATGTGTTCTTGAAACTGTTTCTACTGATTATGGTGAAGGCCTATGGTAGTTTTCAGTGTTTTTGAAGAAAACCCCTGAAATAATTTTGTTTGTGTTTGTCGTGTGGAAGGTGAGAGATGTATTTTTTTTTTGTATTGTCCATTTTTACAATGTATATACAATCACAGCAGTGCACATATTTATCTTTTATTATTAGACCCAAAATTAGCATAAAGCTAAGCGTTGTCAACACTTGAAATTGATGAAATTAATGAAAAATATTGATTTAATTAGTGGAATATAAAGTTGATGGTTCAATGACATCTTGCTGAAATATGTGTAAATAAATTCCAAATATATTTAGAATTATATAAATTAAAGAAAAAAAATATTTCTTCAAACTGGACATAAAGCAAGGATAAGGATAGTTAGTATACAGAAGGTTAGGCAAGAGGTGTTGAGAGATGGAGGCAGATGATTTGTGGAGGTGACCTCCACCGAGAGCAGGAGGAAGAAAAAATTCTCCTACAGCTCGTTAGTTTGATGAAACACCAACGTCGTGTCTCAAATTAGGAGAGAATGTTGTCTTGTTACAGTGTTTCATATGGTTGTATGTGCTCTCTGCTCCTAATGCAGTTCATCTGCGGTATGTCTCTTCATAGCTCTGTGCACTCATTGACTTTTCCTGTCCTCACACACTTTGTCCTGTCTTCAAGACAGGCTATTAACCTGTCTGCCTTCTGCAGAATCCCTGTAATTTGGCTGTCAATTATTAAAATTCCACCTGCTAACACACAGAGACAGAGAAGGTCCTTGGCATTCATCTTGGACTCCAAAAGGCCCGACTGCTAATGCACATGGGCTAATGTATGTGTGACGTCCTGGGAGCTGCCTGGTTTGACAGCGGACCCAGCACAGAGAGTGGATAATTGTATAAGAGAGGAGAGAGGTGGAGGAAGAGGCCGGGCAGGTGTCTGCTTAACAGTTAAAGTTATAACACAAAATTGGCAAGCGGTGGTGTAAGTAAATATTGATGGGCTTTAATTTAGGGCTGTCAAAAAATTTAAGTTTTTAATCTGATTAATTACAGAGTGAATTGATCATCATAAATTGAGATAAATCGAAATTCCAAAATATAATAAAACTTTGGTTTCTTGTAATTGTTGCACTAGAAATACAAATTACAGCAGGTAGATGTGTTTCACACGAGTTTTAAGTTGTGACTAATTCAAGTGACGGATGTGAAGTGATAAGATGGACACCTGCAGAGGAGCTGTTAGGAGATAAAGTTATGTGGAAGAGATTGTCATGGTTTTAACACTTGTTGAGCAGACACTTGAAATATTGGAAATATATTTCTAAAAAAGGTTTTTGGGATCAGAAAACCATTCAGTATTCAGTTTATAATATTCAGAGAAAACATATTTCATCCCTCATCCTCTGGAGGGGAAAGCTCTGTATTCTCCACCAATCCCGTCCTGTCCACCTGGAGAGGCAGGCTGACAGCTCTTATTCCTTGTTAAGTCAGACTTGTAACAGACACAAGCGCTTCATGCTACTGCAGAAGCTCCTCGCTGATTAGTGTGCCCAGGGATCAAGGGGATCAAGTTGCCAGAGCTGAGTTACCTTCAACCAGCCAACCCAGTGTGAAATGAAAGAGCCAACAAACAAGCAACCGTCAACACCATTAAGGGTTTCCTGGACAGGAAATAATTCTTTAACAACACACAAAATAGACACGATGTGCCTGAGAAAACATAGCCGTGTTGATAGTAGTATGTTGATTGGCTGGAAAATGATAGTGGTCACTTCAGGGCGTATGTTGTTCTTGTTAGATAACCTACATCCAATCATACCGAGAAAACAACAACAAAACACACACTGGAGAAGTACTTCGCTCCTTTCTTTTCGTGCTAATTTGAACCATTTGCTTCCCCATGAGCTCCTCAAGAACAAAATGGTAACAGTTGAACGTCGAGGGGGTGCACTTGATTATTTATTTGTGTTTCAACAGGAGGAAATCGGAGCTCGGTCTGTGCTGTGAGTCATAAAAGCCTGTTTATTTAGAAACCAGAACTGGCTGCTCGACAGAGCGTTACATCTGGTGGTAATTATATCATCGGGCTCTCCATCCCACACGCTGAATTCAATACATATGTGGGAGTTGCATCACTTCAGCGTTGTTGCGCTGTATGTGTGCGTTGTTCTGTGCACGTGTGTTCCAGGTACCTAGCAACATACAAGGTGCTGTGAGTCAGAATTGATTTCATCAGCCTTAAAAATTTTGCTATTATTTTCCTTTTTTCCTGTTGGTTCTCTATGTAAAAATGCCATAAGATTAACTAATTCGTGACACTAATGAAAATTCCTGTGAACAAGCTAATTCTACAGTTACTACAGTAAAGTACAAGTTAAACTTGATCAGAGTTGTTACCTCACTTCAATGATGCTGTTACAGAAGCTGGTTTTTCCACTGGGACACATTAGTACATTATTCATCATTTAGGACCTGCTGATAATAACCTGGTTTTTACATAATAAAAATTGATTTGGATTTTGCCTTACAGCAGCCTTTTTGATTCTAGGTAGTCCAGGTTTACATTATTATTTAAGTAAACACACAGATCTTTGAAGTGTTTCTCTTTTCTGAGGTGACTTTTCAGCCCTTGATTCTCACCTAACTAAAAAGTAGATTTTTGTTTTGCATCCTCGCGTGAGCACTTTTTTTCCATGAACTTTTATCAACGAACATGAAGTGGGTTTCAGAAGAATGCTGCTGGGATGATGGGATTTTCTTGTGGCTCCTCTTCTTATAGGGCTCCGGTTCAACAGCTGCTAAAACTTCACTCAAATCTTGGCCGTGGAGAGAAAACATCTTGTTTCATTTTAGCTGCTCTGTTGTTAAAGGACTTGGAACATTCGCTGTCTCTCTCATCTCCTCGCCGCGTACCCTCCCTCTCTACTCCTTCTTCTCCTCCTCCCCCTCTCCCCTTCACCTCACCTCAGATTCTGTCAAACCTCTCACTGGGGAGAAACAGGAGATATGCTAAGGTGTGTGTTCCGTTTAAACCCACCGTCTCCCAGCCTTACAAGGCTCCCTGTGTATAATTGGTGACCTATTACTTTCTGCCCATTGGATTTGACAGATATGAATTGGAGACTGCCATACGGATGTGCTGATTAATGACAACCACAATTGGTACCTTTTAATTGCCAAGAATCAGGCGCTGCTCTGGAAAAGAGAGTCGCACACATACACACGTCTGTGATTACAGGGTGCGTCTGTGTGCATCTCTCTCTGCACATGCAGGTCGTTACCGAAACTGAGCTCAAGTCATTTTAATCAACCAATGGCTGAACATTATGGATGGAGCCAGCTGTTTGCCAATGACTCTGCTTTGTGTATGTGTGTACATGTTTTCATGTAGGCCCTATGTGAACCAATGGGGGTTTGGGTCTGCAGGGGCTCGGCATCAGTAATGTGTGTGATTTAGCACACATCTGGTCATATACACTCCACCGGGGAAAAGAGAGTTATATTTGCAGGCAGCAGGCACGCACACAGCCACACACTCAAAGTGATCTACACACAGCTAATTAACCTGGTGCTTCTCACAGCTGCTGGCCCTGACTTTGCTCCGGCAGACGTGGGTGGGTTTCCAACCTAAATCAATCTGCGCTAATTGCTGGTCTGTGCTCCCCTGCATCTTTACCTTGCTCCCTGTCACTGTCTTATCTACTTGTCTGATTTGACGAGTAACTCCCACATCTTAGAGCCACTTTGATCTCTCAGACAAGTCAACAATCTCCCCGTGTTTTTTTTTTTTTTCCCTAATGTGTAACGATGTCAAGACGTAATGCTGCCAGAAATGACTGACTACTGATCTGCAATCATTTGCCCTGAATTGTTTTGGCGAGGTGATGTAAGGTTGTCTTCATGGGTTGCACCTTGAATGGTGAATTATGAAGCAGATGGATTTTTTTTAAAACTTTAATGTATGCCCTTACTCTGCAGTTGCTCCTGCCAGGAGTTCACGTTGAGGTTACTACGACGATTTATCACAAGTGACTAAAAGCCTCGCATTTAAAAAGCCAAATGAATCAGTGCGGTGAGGCTGCTCTTAAAATTTAAATTTGCAGAAGAGAGATGGTTTGAATTTGGGAAAGTCTCTCTCTCTCTTTCTCTCTCTTTCTGTCATTGTGTGTGTCTCCCTCTCCTCACTTTTCTGGCTCTTCTACCGCTCTGCTGGCACACCTCACACCGTTGCCTGTAATCAGTTAAACACTCACTCTATCTACCGCTACCACCGCAAGCCAAATAGGAATGGTCTTGTCATCAATACAGATGCTGCCAGGAGCCCTGGGTTGAGCACTGGACCAAGAATGAAGGAGGAGCCAGATGAATTTATTTGAAGCCGAGCGCCTCACAGCCATCGGGGCCTTAAAAGGGAAAAGGTATGAAGAGAAAGTAGCTGTAGTGTGTCATTTCCACAAATGCAGACATCTGTCTTCTTTTGGCATTCTCCCCACGCTGACAGAGGTCATGGGTTTGTGTTGGGAAAGCACAAGGAGGGGTGGGGGGGTAACAGTCATTCTGTTAAACCCAGTGGAATGATATGAATGTGATACAGAGAGCTTAAAAGCGTCATGGGAAAAACAATAGAAACATGAAAGCAGTCTTTGACTTATAGCACTGCCGGTTCATGTAGTGTTTATTTTACACCATGACCACGAGCCAGTGCTTTATAACAGTGTATTTGGATTATTTAAAAGCACAAACAATCATGAGGAAATCTGTACCGTGGCTTTTTAATCTACTGTACAGCAGTGGGCTGCAACCTGTGGCTTCTTAGACCAAATGGACCAAATTTAGTGATGCACCGGTAAAGAGTTTTTATAGTGTACACTAGTAGAGTATAATCTAGTGTTTAATATAATATATATTTTTTGTGATTGGTAAGTAGATAAGATTATTATTAACCATTCTAGCAATAACATGTAAACCACAGATTCTCTACTGACCACCTTATCTACCAGTAATCAGTAGGAAAACAGACACATCACTGAAAATAAGACAAAAACTACCTGAACAGAAATAGTATCTGACTGAACTTGCTTCATAATTCAGAAGCAGTAAAACGTCTAGTTTCCTGTCGTATTACCCTCAGGCATGGAAAGAATGGTTTGGCAAGAACTGTAAATTACAGTTCCGGAAAAACGTTCGTTCTAGTCAATTCAAACACAGAAATGTCTATGGGAACAATTTTCAAAATCCACAGGACCAATTTTCACTTGTACATTTGAAACCTTCTTTATAGGATTTAAAACTTTGTCTTACGATTTGGGTTACGGCTGAAACTTCCTAGCCTGACTAAGAAAAAGGAGTTGTAGTATTTAATAGTACTAGTAGTTGTAGATAAAGTCTGACTGTTCGTGGGTGTCGTTGTTTGCAGATGTCATTTGATTTTCTATTTATTATTGCTGTTTTTTTCCCAGTCTGTAGACAATAATAACAAATATCAGGCATAAGCCAAAACATTTTTACACAGTGTCCATGGTGAAAAAGCAGATGAATACTATGGAACACATACAGTATCTCATGTATGAACGTATAAATTACCCTCAAAGTCTACAGGAAATGAATGTAAGTCAATAGTAGTCTGTGGAGTCGTGGAGACTTGGGTTTAGTGTGTGTGTGTGTGTGTGTGTGCACACCATGTTTCTATGGCTTGTGTTCTGACATCTGTTTCTGGTGAGAAAGCTAAATGTGTCTTGGATGGACTCTCTGACCAACTGTCTGTCCCAGAGCACTGAGAGCTTGACTCCAGAGCCCTGTTGAAAAGCTGCCATCTAAGCTGGACTGCTTCTAAGTGTGTGTGTGCTCTGTGTGTGTGTGTGTGTGTGTGTATTTGTCACATTTAAAACGCTGTCGGTGCAAAAATCCATTTAAATCAGCATCAATGAGTAACTTTTCTTTCCTCTGCTGTAATAAAATCCAGTCCCAATAAGAGCCAGACCCTGGATAAATAACCCTTTTTACAGTAATAAGATAAGGTTAACATAAGGGCCGTGGATCTCAGGTTTGCACAGATTTAGTAGAAAAACTGAACCACAAAGGTAAATGAAATAGTTATAAAAAATATCGTCTTATTTATTTTTCTGAAGCTCAGTTCCCAAGTCACTTTAAACTAAACTTCCTACTGTACATCTATAATGTCCCGACATTTGGTTTTGCTTATAAAACACATGTGATAGGGACAGAAACTAATAAAACCAACATAAAATCTGACATTGACGAAAACTAAGCTGTGTCTTTATAATAAAATAAAAGATTTAAACACTGAGGGAAACGACAGGCTGAGGAGGAGAGAAGGGAACTGCCTGTAACATGCCCACTGCTAGAGTAGCTTTTCTTTTTCTCCCTCAGTCTTCCTCTGACTTTTTTTTGTGGGAGCTGTGGTGGTGGAGAAAATGTGAGCTCCAGATGTCGAGCCTTTACTGCAGATGTGCTCACTTAGAAGCCAGGGAACACTAATCTGCTGTGCTGCATGCACACACAGAGGAACGGATATTTACGTGAAAGAACAATGCTCACACCTCGACACGCACTTTTAACCTGCATTAATAGACATAAAAATGCGTAAATCTTAGGAAAATTACAAAAAAAAAGATCATTGGACTTTCACATTGTTTATATTTTTACTATTTTTGCAATTTTCTGCACATGACAACAGAAGCAGTTGAAAGACCGAGCCTCCTCCACAGCCTGAAAACAAAGAAATAGAATAAGAAGAAACTTGGAAATGTTGAGACTTTTTGAAAAAAATGTCTTTTTTAGTTGATAGAACTGGCTAGACTTAACTAGAATGGACTAGAAGAGACACGCATGACATGGACTTGACTAGAATAAACCAAACTAGTCTAAACTAAGGTAGACTATACTACAAATACACGGGACTAGATTAGACTACAGTAGAAAAGAACATACAAAAATCAAATTTAAAGTTGAAATTTGTAATCCACCGTTCAGTTAATATAGTGTGTTTGTCTATAATGTTTGTGACCTCACCCTTCAGTATTTTCTTTCTTTAACGATTACTGTAGTTGACATGTCAGAAAACTTTTCATTTGGTTGGTTTTCTGGTTCATATTTAACACAATGTTGCCTCACTGTCGGGTATTTTATGCAGCAAAACTGCACTGATGACTCAATACTGTATATTCCATGTGCAGTTCATTGCATAAGCCAAAGTGTGTGTGTGTGTGTGTGCACAACAGTGTGTGTGTATGATCAGCAAAGTCTCATTAATGTGTATGTAGGGGTGAAAGGGTGGAGTTACAAAGAAGCTTTGAAATATTTAGCAGATCAACATCAAGGAGTAAAAAATGTGATCCGCATGCTGTGTGTGTGTCTGTGTGTTCATGCATGTTTGTGTTACAAGGCTCTAGGCCGTCCCCTGGGCATGTTGCTCATTATTCATCCCTGTGTCCTCCCAGCCAATGATTATTGATTGGGCCATGTTAAGTATGGAGAGGGCACCTCATGGTGACAGCTTCTCTGCTGCTGCTGCCCCTTGATCTCCGTCTGAAGGGAGGCACACAGAGGAGTGGGTGGGAGATGTGATGTGAAGCTGCCTGCTCCAGGGTTGGAGGGGCTACATATTGTCTCTGGACGTGTTGGCTGATTTTGAATTAACTGTTTTATAACTGTTTATGAGGAACAGACTATTATACAATATGAAGATGAATTGAGATGATGACGGTAATCTTCCTTTTTGATTGGTATTGTTCACTAGGTAGTTATGTCATCTGATGTTGTAGGTTTAGAGAATAAAGTCATAAAGTAATCAGAATATAGTTGTAAGTTTACATTTAATAAAGCTGTACAGAGTTAAGAGATAAGAGATATAGAAGCTGTAGGTTTAGATGATGAATTTTGTTAGATCTTATAGTTATATTTTCACAAATAAAGAATTACTTCAGCTTCTGTCTCATTAGCATATACGTTGATTTGCGTAAACTTTATTTAGTAGTTTATTCTCATACACTTGACTATAAATAGTTTTTTCTCAGAGTTATGACTTTATCATAATAAATTTATTTTCAGTTTTTTATTCTAAATGAGGCCCCTATACACCATACACATTTCAAATTATATAATTTTATAGGAGTAGTAGAAGTAGTACTAACAGTCGAATTTTTCTCTATATTAGGAGAGAATATAAATGAAAGAGAATAAAAGAGAAATGAAAGCGTCGAGTGAGACTAATGCAGTTTAAAAGGTGAACAAAAGCTAATATTTCCAACTGGAAAATATCTGCTTCTACTTATTATCTCCCACCTGCACTGGTCCAAGCTCGGTTTGATTCCTTAATCTAGCTGTTAGCCACTGCCACCCACCAGAGTGTGAGGCACACGAGCACAATAAAGTAGCACTACCTCTGCCAACACTCCACACACAGACGCATACTCCAAGCACCCCAGCATATGGGTCAGATCTAATCGCAATAATTTCATTTCCCTCCTCATCAGCTCCCAGCCAGATAGACTAAGTCCCATTTGTAACCACTGCAGCTCTACTGGAAGGAAATATGACAGATAAGACTCTTGTAATAAGCTGGCTGTGTGGATCTGATAAATGAAGGCAGCTTTTGCCAGTTAGCTGAGAAATTTATTGTGGAGGAGCATAAAAAAGCAAGTGTGGAAGCTAGAGGATTCACAGGAATAAATGGGGAAACAAATTTACTTTGTTGATTAGCAGCGCGTTCCATTCACCATCTGAGAAATCTTTGGTATATGCAATGGCATTTGTGATATCATGAGGGGGAGGAGGGTATTTGACATACACTGAATCCTGCTGCTCAGTCGTTTCAATGACAATCCTCCACTTTTAAGTTTTCTCTTTAAAAATACAGCCTTTTATCGGTTTCTGTTTAATTTTAAAAATGACCTGCAGCTTAATTCCTTATTTTGACTTAAATGATTTGCATATGATTATATTAATGCTCCGGATAAAGCACACCCTCTGCTGGTGTAGTATGCTGTGATGTCAAGGGAACTGACAACCAAAACTAGGAAGATGTTAAAGACATAAATTCTTAAAAAATATTTTAAAAATATATTTTATTTATTGGTTTTGAATCAACATCATAAGTTGAGAAAAAAAACAGACTGAGATATGCTTCTGTTTTTAACACTTTTCAAAGGACGGCCGGTTCATCTCCTGAGTGTGTAGGTTTTGTTTTTGCGAAGTACATCCCGCCAAAAACAGGTCAAAGGGAAAGTCAAAGCACTTATCCCTGAGCTGGGTTCTCTCAAGAGTAAATGCTTCAGTGCATCTCAGAAAATCGTCCATGCAAGAGCCAGCACATAAACAGTCACCTTGTCAGTCACCTTGTCAGTCAGTCAGCCGCTCGGTCAGTAAACCTGTTTTCCAGTTGTACATCCATTGAAGC